GGGGATCGATAGGAGGGGTAGAAATATGGTGGTTCTTTTTAAAGTCAATAGGTAGGTGGGACTGGTATGGTCAAATCAGAACTTATATCTTGTACTCAATAATAAACATGATTATATCAAACTTGTAGAACATACATTTTATGTCATAACTATTTAATCTTTAATATTATACTATTTATATATTTACTTCAAGTTTATAAGCATATATAATATTTATTAAATAAAAATATATTGTGGTGGTTATCTCACTCTCATCCCAGGAGCTAGGTCTGCGCCATTACATTGTTCAAGTTTGATGAGGGTCATCAGTAATAGAATAAAAAATCGTTTATTCAAATACATTACTATTAAATTACTTTGAAGTATTTTTGAAGAGTCATCACATTTTGTCGTTTTACCTAAGTGCCGTTTGACGAAAGTTAGTAATTCGTTTTATGGAAATTGCGTAAGGTTTTACAACTGCCAGAGTCTGTTATAAATCTGCCAGAAAAAAGATTTAAATGTCAAATAAAACACCCCTTGCAGTGTGTCATAGACCCCTGGGGGTAGATATTGACCACTTTGGGAATCACTGATGTAAAACGTACGGCGTTGCCCATACACATGTTTGTTTAAAAAAATCGGTTTAACTAGCACGAAGTCACAGGATATTATTATTAGTATTGCTCGTAACTTGGTCATATATTATAGTATTATATAATAGTAGGAACACGGCCGTCGGTCCATTTGTCACACATATAAGTGGTTACTTCTCAGCTCTATTATCAAATTTACTTGTTGTTACCATTGTTGTATTGTGAATGAAAGTACATGTCTGTGAAATTTCAACTTGATCTCGACCTGATGTATATATGGATGTATATATGATTTCTTCCAATTTAATATAATAATAATAATCTCAGGACAATTCACACAATGCTATCTCGACTAGGGTTGCCAATGCCAAATTTAAAAAAGCTAGTATATACATAAATATACACATAGAAAACATACCGTACAAGTGTAAGCTAAGCAGAGCTTGTGTATTGTATACGACACAACTGTTTTTTTAAATAAATACATAAAATACAAACAAACAAACATATGACAGGTTTAGCACACCGCTTTACTATCCGATGGCCGTGGGTTTGATTCCTCGCATGCTACAAACATTTGTATTCATGAGTATGATTGTTTGTATCGGTCTGGGTGTTTTCTATGTATAATATGTATTTATTTACAAAAAAAATGTATCCATGTATTTAGATCAGTTGTCTAGTACCCATCACACAAGCTCTGCTTAGCTTGGGACTAGATGGCGCTGTGTGAATTGTCCTGAAATATTATTATTATTATTATATAACTACAAATATTTTCACCGTGCGAGGAATCAAACCCGCAACCATCGGAAGTGAAGAAGTGTGCTAAACCGCAAGACCACCGAGGTCGTCAGAAAGAAATGTTATAAATAATACAGTATCGACGTATGTTTATAAATATTGTGATACCATACGTGAGACGTCATGTAGATGTATCTTGTGGATGATAATGCAATGGTGCACCCGCCTGCGCTAACGGTTTACGCTGGCGGGGCACCAGTGGAGGATGATAAGATGAGGTTAGGTCAGTTAGCCCATCCTGATAAATTCACTATGAATTTGTCAATAAAATATAGATTTTTTTGTCGTACCATATACATCGTACATATATTACATAAATTTATACATAGATAAATACACATTCTAAATATATATATAACTCAAAGGTGACTGACATAGTGATCTATCAACGCACAGCCCAAACCACTGGACGGATCAGACTGAAATTTTGCATGCATAAAGCTACTATGACGTAGGCATTCCCATAGAAAGGATTTTGATAAATTCCATCCTTGAGCGGATAAATTAACGCGAGCGAAGCCGCGGGCAAAAGCTAGTATATACATAGAAAACACCCAGACCGATACAAACAAACAAACTTATAACTACAAATATTTTCACCGTGCGAGGAATCAAACCCGCGATTTACTAAGAATTTATCACGGTAGTTTCCAGGAGGAATCGCGTGGAGGTCAACCTGACTCGGAACATTACTAGCGATGGAGTCATTTGTTCAATCCACTAAGAATCCCTTTTCCCCTCTTATTTGAGAGGTTTTTTTTGTGGATGATAATGGAATGGTGCACCCGCCTGCGCTAACGGTTTACGCTGGCGGGGCACCAGTGGAGGATGATAAGATGAACATGAGGTCAGGTCAGTTAACCCATCGTGAGAAATTCACTGGGAATTTATCACGGTGGTTTCCAGGGGGAACTGCGTGGAGGTCAGCTAGTATGTCTTGAATATATATATATGTATATGTTTACAAAAACTATGTTTAAGTACAGATTATACTTGTTGGAGACCTATTGAATTGTTCTAAGTTGTAGGTAAGTAGATATTTATGCTATACTAGCTGTTCCCGCGACTTCGTCCGCGTGGAATTTAACTTTATTTTTCTAAAATAAAAGTAGCCTAAGTTACTTCTTATTACATCAGCTACCTAGCTAGCCAAAAAGAGTTCCGTCAAAATTGGTCCAGCCATTTCAGAAATTAGCCGGAACAAACAGACAGACAAAAATAGTAAAAAATGTTATTTTGGTGTATGTACCGTATTTATATTCATATGCATGTAGTAAAAAACGTTTATTTCAATATTACAAACAGACACTCCAATTTTATTTATATGTATAGATGCATACATCTAAGTTATATGTAGGTATATATTTGTGTTATCTTTCACGTGTCTACACAACCATACAATTGCCCATTCATGTGTTTATATATTCCAACCTGTTATTCGCAGCTAGCTGACACGTTTGCTATACGAAGGCTATTGTAAAAAAAATGTATATTTTTATAAGGAGCTGGCCAGCTGAAGGCCACCTCGTGCTTGACATATACGACTCTAGTAGAATATCTAAGGCTTCAAACTCGGATTAGATCGGCAAATTCTTAATCATCATCATCATCATCGCAGCCCGGAAGACGTCCACTGCTGGACATAGGCCTCCCCCAAAGATCTCCACGACGATCGGTCCTGCGCTGCTCGCATCCAATGCCTTCCCGCGATCTTGACCAGATCGTCGGTCCACCTTGCTGGAGGCCTTCCCACGCTGCGTCTTCCGGTCCGTGGTCGCCACTCGAGGACTTTACTGCCTCATTTTAATAATAACTTGTACAAATGTTAAAGAGCTCGAAGTGTATACTAGCTAATCGCCCCGGCTTCGCCCGGGTGCACATGTATTATATATATAAAACCTTCGGACAGAACTGCAGAACAGTTTGTAGCAAGATATTGCTCATATTTGTTAACACTAACACTTATACATCAATACATATTCATTTATTTATTAAACAACTATTATTACAGTCCTTTTTTTTTCGGACTACTCTAATGCTGTTGGCCGCAGCTGGCCTTTACAGCTTCACTGGACGTTAGGGGGCGAGTGCAGATGGCACTCCAAACCAAGGAAGGACTTATGGAGCGGCTGAAGGCCAACTCCTGCCTGACGGATACGCCCAATACAATAGTATATCTAATACTATATTATACATGTTCATCATTTATATAGGTATACGCATGTTTAACAAAAGAGGGCCATTTGCTCCATTTATGGTATGGGTTCCAGGGAATCATTGCGAGAGTGCTTTAAGGAATCAAATATCCTCACCGTTGCTTCTCAATACATTTATGAAAATATCATTATGCCAGGAAGAATATAGACAGTTTCAAAAAAGTTAGTGATTGCACCAATAAAAGCTTACGTAACAATAACAAACTGATTTTACCTAAATGTCGTTTGGCTAAAGTTAGTAATTCGTTTTATGGCAATTGCGTAAGGTTTTACAACAAAATACCAGAGTCTGTTATAAATCTGCCAGAAAAAAGATTTAAATGTCAAATAAAACAGTTCCTTTGCAAAAAAGCTTACTATAAAATTGAAGAATTCGTTAACGATAATAATGTTTTTATAGAAAAACTTTATATCCATAGCACTGACAATATTATCTGATTACACTAATAATGAGTGCGTAGCGATTTCTATGTTTTTTATCGCATGCCTCTTACTTGTTATACTGTAATTATTTATATATATAAAAAACTTCTATTAAAAAGAGCAACACTCAAGTTTCTTGCTTATTCTTCTTGTGATGAATCTGCATTCCGAATGAGTGGTAGAATCAAAATATGACTATTCAAAAGTGCTTGTAATGAGTTTATTTGAATAAAGATTATTTCTGTTTCTATTTACTTTAGTATTTATTTTTAAACATAACAGGTAAATAGTGTTTTTTTAAATTTTGATTTCAGTACTGGTCAGTACAAATTTGAATTCTGTTGTATCGCATCTGAATTGTTATATATTTTTTTTATTAAAGTTACTCCCTTATATCCATAAAACCAAATAAACAAAATAAACAGCTCGAAGCTACAATGTATATAAAATGAAATGAAAAAAAGGGCATGAATCATCAATTCATGCCCTTTTTTTCATTTCATTTTTGTTCATTGTTTTTTTCCTCGCTTTTCTTGTTCCGCGAATATATACATTGTAGCTTCGAGCTGTTTATTTTTTTTATTTTGGTTTCATGTGCATATATATATATTTTATAATACGTTACTTTTATTAGTCAATTATAATTATTTGCTGCGGGGAGCCTGCGACAGTGGCTAGTTGTATATTTCTGGTTATATCTAGTTCATATATCGTCGGTTAAATAGAAAAATGTCATTTTTCAAAATTAGAAGCTAGAATTGCCTCCTTTTATATAAGTCAATTAAATTAACCGCGCCGTCTTAATCATTATCTAAATACATTTAAAATGATATACAATACTTCTGTGTAAATTTAAAACTTTAAAGGAAAAATAATTTAAATAAATTTAATAAAAATAAACTTTAAATGCTTGTCCTGTAAAAAAATGTACATTTTAAATACTGCCATTTTTCTATTTAATCGACGATATATAAAAACTGACCTGTAAGGCACATCTGCAGCCAGGAATACGTAATTGATCGCGTAAAGTGCCGCAGCAAAAACGGTGAACGCCAGCAGCAAATAGTTCATCAAATGAAACGACCGGAACTGGCCCAGGTCGTGCATCAGCCGGTCGGTGTCGAAGGTGTGCGGCTCCTTACTCGATGACTTACTCATTTTCACTACTTACTTAACAACTTTCACAAGATTGCTTAATTATATTTTAAGTCTAGAATTTTAACATATATGTAAGTATATATATGTAAGTGATTACAACTTTCACATGGATCCTCAATTTTATTTTTATTTAGAATTTTATAATGTCTTTGTAATAAATAATTACATAATTTGAATTTAAAATTATATAAGAATTATTTAATATATGTCAATAGATCGTACAAGCGCAGCCTCGTTCTCTTTACGAACTGAGAACCACGAGCATGCGCGTGCGCACACACAACCACACTACACTGCTGGTAGCCTATGATGATTACAAAATCCACACGACACTGACATCCGACATTGGTCACTGTTTAAATTCGCTAGTAAACTTTTAAGATTGAATATGTTATCTATTTAATAAAATTAATAATAATAATAAATAAATTACTCACTAAACGATTACTTGAATGACGAGCGTGCATGGCAATAGTTGTTTATGTACGGGATTTTACATTGTAAATAAACTTGCTTTTTAAAAAACAAAGTAATTCAACTGAGTTTCTAGCCAGTTCCTTTCAGTTAGATCTATATACTGAACTGGAAATTATTATAAAATAAAAAATTTGACGTTCATAAACGGGTAAAATGTCCTATATGAATAGATGATTTTTGAATTTAGAATTTGAATTTTTGAATAATAAATTGTATTTAAAAATTTTATTCAAATATTTAATTAAAGTCATGATCACATCAGTGGAAAATTTTTAGGGTCAGGTCATAAATTTTACATCCAAATTAACGTGGTTAAATAAAGAAACTTCTAAATATGGAAAGCTGGCTACTCGCCCCGGCTTCGCCCGGGTGTACATGTATTATACATGTAAACCTTCCTCTAGAATCAGTCTATCTATTAAAAAAACTGCTTCAAAATCCGTTGCGCAGTTTTAAAGATTTAAGCATACATAGGGACGGACCGACAGCGACAGCGACTTTATTTTATACTACTTGTATAATATGTAATGATAAAGAACTTTAAAAAGTACAAGAAAGTACCTACCATTTCTAATAAAAGTAGTAAATTTGTATATTTCAAAAGCAATATTGTTGTTTATTGCTCTAGACAAATATAGGTATATAATGATCTATTTACTTGAAATAGAAATAGAAATAATCTTTATTCAAATAAACTCATTACAAGCACTTTTGAATAGTCATATTTTGATTCTACCACTCATTCGGAACGCAGATTCATCACAAGAAGAATGAACAAGAAACTTTTGTGTTGCACTTTTGAATAGATGTTTATATATATATATATAAATAATTACAGTATAACAAGTAAGAGACATGCAATAATCAACATAGAAACTATAAAATTGAAAAATTCGTTAACGATAATAATGTTGTGCACGACGCACCTCTTTGTTTATTATTTATGTATTTTGTCTATTATTTTATATAGAAAAATATATATGACATTGTCAATTCTTGTTCTGCTAATTATTATACTTTTGTACATAATATTATATTATTGCTTCCTAAAACCCGTGTTTGCATAATTATATCTACCAGCCCCATATATATACAGTCCTTCGTTCACAAATGTTTTTATAGAAAAACTTAAAATCCATAGCGCTGACAATATTATCTGATTACACTAAAAATGTAGTGTAATCAAATAATATTGTCAGTGCTATGAATTTTAAGTTTTTCTATAAAAACATTATTACCGTTAACGAATTCTTCATTATTTAGTTTAAGTATTATTATGTAATATTATATTATCTGTGGTATTATATAACACAAATATATATAAAATATGACCGGAACCGTCGGTGTGCGGACTTGCCTCGCGGTTGACGGTTTCTATAATGAGACGAGATATAAAAACTAAGTACTAAATATAAAACAAGGTTGAAAAGAAGAAAAGGTCAAGTATATATGTATACATATATATTATATTTACTTTATTATTGGTACTTTATTAATATATTTACTCATTACAATTGTCACACAATATTGTACGGATGCAGTTGGCATCGATACTGTTTGGATAACTACAGTTGCACCTGAGTATATCTATACATATAGAAATACATAATATATGTATATTGTATATATAAAAATTGCATGTCTATATCCATTTAATGCAATTACACAGATGTTTATACAAATTATACTCGGCTTGTAAATTATTACAACTAAATTTAAAGACTAGATGTGTACGACTTTGTCCGTGTGGAATAGTGACCTTGAACAATGAAAAAATATATCCAAAAAAATAAAGAAGCCAAAGAAAAATTCTCATCGTTCTACTTTCATCACCTAATTTTTTTTTATTCAAAAGTGACGATTTTCTGTACGAACTTTCATCACCTAATTTTATTCTCTTCAAAAGTGACGACTTTCTGTACGAACTTTCATCACCTAATTTTTTATACTTCAAAAGTGACGATTTTCTGTACGAACTTTCATCACCTAATTTTTTTTTTCTTCAAAAGTGACGATTTTCTGTACGAACTTTCATCACCTAATTTTTTTTTTCTTATAAAGTGACGATTTTCTGTACGAACTTTCATCACCTAATTTTATTTTCTTCAAAAGTGACGATTTTCTGTACGAACTTTCATCACCTAATTTTTTATACTTCAAAAGTGACGATTTTCTATACGAACTTTAATCACCTAATATTTTTTTCTTCAAAAGTGACGATTTTCTGTACGAACTTTCCAATTCAAACGGGGATCGGTATTACAACGGCATGAGCCGAGGTTCGAACTCCTAGCGGTGCTCTCAGACTAAAGTCGTATCCGTCAAGCGGGAGTTGGCCATCAGCCGATCCATAAGTCCTTCCGCGGGTTTGGAGTGCCATCCGCACTCAGTTTTGAATTTGTTTTTTAAAACTACTGGTGCATATCTAATTAATATGAATATCATTGACGTCAAGTCTATATATTTAGGTGCACGTTGATCAACCTTTGTGTGTCATCTGGTTATTGGTTGTTTTAGTACAATATTGGAATTTCTAAATTGAAACTTAATATTTTATGTATTTAACTGTATTAATTTGAATATTATATAGAGAACAAAACAATGAAGTGGCCGAATGAGATGTATTATAATTTTTTATTCTTCTCTTCTTTCCCACTTTCTATAACTTTCCTACATTTCCCTAGTATATTATTGAAATTTACTGCGACGTGCAGTTGTATTTATATTTATAATATAATATATACTTGCCCCGGCTTCGCAAGGGTGTACCTGTATTATATAATCATACCTCTTGAATCACTCTATTTTTTAAAAAAAACCTATATAGTATATAAATTAAATGGCTATTTATGAAAATTATAGTTATACTTATCTATATCTATACATATAAATAAAATTATCTTTAATAGTTTTAGTTTTAGACTTAATTGTTCACTATATAAAAAAAGAATATAATAATAATTAAAACTCCTACTGATTTTCATTAGCAAATACACACCTACACATATGTAATGGCAATTTTGCTGTAGGAAATAATTGATGTATTTTTATGTACAGGACCTTGTGAATATTTCTAATACGGTAATTTCAGAGGATTATCCTCCCGCGTACACTTAGATTGTGGAATGAACTACCTGCCGAGGTTTTGTCGTGAGACTACGGCATGGGGTTGTTCTAGATGGGGTATCCATATTAATGTTTCTAAATGGTTGGCAATGCGCACTTGACACTCCTGACGATACAGGCGTCTATACACTACGGTGACCATTTACCATCAGACGGGCCGTATGAATATATAGAAATATAAATAATATGCACGGTACAAACATTTGTATTCATGAGTATGATTGTTTGTATCGGTCTGGGTGTTTTCTATGTATTTACGAAAAAAATCTGTATTTGTATCAGTTATCTAGTACCCATAACACAAGCTTTAGCTAGCTTTGACTTGGGTCTGGATGGCGCTGTGTGAATTGTCCTGAGATTATTATTATTATTATTAATATGCAGACTTAACTACAATATTATTTTTTGAAAGCCTTTGGTCGCTTAGGTGATGGTCTGCGTCAACAGTTATTTATATTTGAATTTATATACATTTTGATTTATTTATTTTATTATTTTTTTCTTCTATTATTTTTATTAAGGATAAGCTTAATTCAATTTTGGTAACATTAAGATTGTTGAGTGAATATGTACTGCACGCGATCGCACCACCACTGGGCTGCTACTGAAAATCAGTGTTTTGCTCGCTGAGCAAATTGTTCACTGAGTAGCTCAACCCTTTCGTATCCCTGTGGCACCTAATATGTATTTTAATGTTTATTTTATGTGGAAGTTAAAGTATTATGTGTTGTTTTTTTTTTATAATTATTTACTATTCTTATGTGTTATTTGAATTTTGTTTGTACTCTCTTTGTTATCGGGATACGAATAAAGATTTTTATCTATCTATCTATCAATATTTATTTTAACGATAGGTAAGACTTATTGCTTTCTGGAAATGACTATTAGCATATGTAATAATTAATTATTATTATAGATGCTATTTGTAATAACTATTATAGTTAAGCAATTAGTCTTCTTTGTAATCGGTAAATAATTTGAATAAAATAATATTATTCAATTAATAACACTAATATACACTACGCTTTTCTCAGTAATGTTTAATATTGCAGTCATGATCATAAATTCAATAATAATGTAGTATAATAAAGTCCACTCCATGCAGTGGTAAATGTGTGTATTATAATGAAACTAGCTACTCGCCTCGGCTTCGCACGGCTGTACATGTATTATATAAACCTTCCGCTAGAATTACTCTATCTATTAAAAAAAATCGCTTCAAAATCCGTTGCGTAATTTTTAAGATTTAAGCATACATAGGGACGGCCAGACAACGACAGCGACTTTGTTTTATACTATATATTTGTACCTAAACAAAAATACTTTTATAATAAATCTATACATATAAATAAAATTATTGTGTCTGTTTGTAATATTGAAATAACCGTGTTTTACTACATGCATATGAATATAAACACGGTACATACACCAAAATAACATTATTTACAATTTTTGTCTGTCTGTCTGTCGGTCTGTTTGTTCCGGCTAATCTCTGAAATGGCTGGACCGATTTTGACGGGACTTTTTTTAGCATCTACCTGCTACATGTAATAAACTCCTTATTACATCATCTACCTGCTAAAAAAACTTAGGCTACTTTTATTTTAGAAAAATAAAATAAAATTCCACGCGGACGAAGTCGCTTGTTTTATATA